AACCCACTGCCACTGAACAGGGTTTTCCATTCGAGACGGGACAGACTTTAACGTGCTCCACAACCTCTCTAACGATGAAGACGGACTCAAGCAGAAAGGGGACTTTTTAACATATTGAATGAAATGATGTTTATATCCCTGTAGGACACGGATCAACGTGAATAGTGGATATTATTTGCATTGAAAAAATACGTCATGATGTATATTCACCACACATACCCTACAAGGTGGCTTCTATCGCAGCCAGTGTGGTTTTTATCTCCACCGTTTTCTTTGATCTTCAGTGTTCAGTTCTGGGGCCCACCTCTGAGCGCAGTGACCGTGGACACTGTCCGCTTCCGAGTGCAGTCCAGGGAGCTAGACTGTCTGACCTGTAACACCAGCCACTCGAGTGATCTTTTCTCTTGTTCTTTTTCCGTCTCTGCTGACTGTTCCGAACGCAGCCTGCTAGGACCCACACTGCTGACCCTGCCGTCTGTCCTGCTCCGGGGCGACAGTCCCTCTGTGCTGAGATGGACGGCAGGACGGGACGGGGAGCCCGTCTTTGAAGGCACGCACTCCTGGCTGCCGATCAGTAGCCAGGGCCAGCACAGGTCTGGGCACAGCTCCTTGGAAAACCAGCCTGAACACAGGCTCTGCCCAGGGCGGTGGGCGGGGCCGCATAAAGGCCATTGAGCAGGTTGCCTTTCAAAGGGGCCCCACTTTCAACTTCTCCACAGGACCCCAAGGGCCTCCATCCTGTGTCCTTGCCTCCCCACACAGCCTCACCTCCTGCTTACTCTAGTTATCTACTGATTCCCTCCTTATCTAATATAATAGGTTTCCCGATGGATAATCTTGTTTTCTTATGATTCCAAATATCTACATGAAGCCACGAGGAAGCACGACAGCTCAAGGGGCGCCTGGCACACCTCTGGTCTTCACAGCAACCCCAGGGGCGTGCCCTCTGTGCCCGTGTTCCGGGGGAGGAGCCTGCAGTTCCCAGAGGTTAAGTAACTCACCCCAGGTCACAGAGCTGGCCAGTGACAGGCCAGGAACGAAGGCTTTCCAAGAACTCCCTGGCTGTGCGGGCATCTCCTACCGGCCCCAGTGGCCATGCTGGCATCTTTGCCCATGCCTCACCACCCCACGTACAGGTCTGTCCTCCACACGTGTGCCTGAGTCCTACTGATGGCTCCCTCCCCGGTTCTCCATGAGGTTGTGGCACCTTCAGGCACCAGGCTGTCACCCATCACTGCCTGAGCACAGCAGAAGCTCGGTCCATGTATCCGGGTGAATGCTGACACCGGCTCACCTCGGCCTCCGAGATTCAGAAGCTAAATGCAGTCAAGGACTCTCCAGGAAGGAACCCGGGCGGGGTGGGGGAGAAGGTGCTCAGCAATCAGGGTGTGCAGCCAATGCTCAGGATGTGGGAGTTCGTTTTAGGGCTACAAGATAACGAAAATTAACCCTTGTCGTTAAGGAGCCTTTAATTTAACGGGGAGCCAGTGCCAACCCCGAGAACTGACAGGGTAACATCGGGGTCAAGACCAAAGACTCTGGGTCCACGTGGATGCCTCAGACCCTGGCTGTGCACGTCAAGGTGTGTGCGCTCACCTGAGACTCCACCTCCTGAAGCTCAGTGTCTTCCTTTGTCAGTGGCGAGGACACTTACCTTGTTCGAGTTGTGTGGATTCAAGGACAACACTGACAAAAAGGAGTATAAGCACAGGCTCGGTCGTAACGACAACTGTAACCAGTGGAAGTCATGGAAGACCAACCGCAAAGCGAGGAAGTGTGAACCGAGCCTGCTATCTCGGAGCGCGCCGCGGGCTGGGGCCTGGTCTACCTGGCGGAAACACAGGGCCAGGGCCCGGGCGACGGGCCAGGGGACCGGATGGCGAGCACCGGTCAGTGCGTCACCTCTGCCAGTGTTCAGATACCCACTGGTCATCTACCTACTGTCACCGCCTCCTCTGTCTAGCACAGAACCTGGGATCAGTAAATGCTGTCACCTGAGAAAAGAACGAATTCAAGGGGGCAGACGGAGGTGAGGGGATGAAGCAATGTGTCCCTGGGGACAGGGGTCCTCCTGCCGAAAGAGGAAGGCGCAGGCGCAGCAGAGTGGGGGGCCAATGAGGGACGCCCCCGGAGCCAATAGGGGGACTCCTGTTCGGTGTTCCCAGCGGTGCCGGCCTGTCTGGCTCACGGCCGGTCGTTCTAGTCCACTGGAGTATGGGTTCTTTTAAAAAGTTCAAATAAACACAAAACTGCCTAATTCCCAGGAATCAGCTCCGGAGACCCCGGGGAGTGGACCCTCTAGGGCCCTTCCGTGAGTCATGATTTAAGGAACATGCATGTTTCTTATTCAATAGTCAATTCCTAAAATGAAATCAATTATGAAAGAAGGAAAAGAGAAAAACTTCAGGGCACACTGGAAGCAATGTGTCCAATGTCACATTCCCCTCTGTGCAGGAAAAGCCAAACGGAACCAATGAACTTATTTTAGTCTATGAGAATGAAGAGAACAATTTTCCTCCTAAAGGTATTTTTTTTCTTTTTAATATTTTTTCCTTTATTGATTTTAGAGAAAGAGGAAGGGAGAGGGAGAGAGACAGAAACATGGATGAGAGAGAACATGGACTGGCCGCCTCCCACATGCCCCCACTGGGGATCCGGCCCACAACCTGGGCATGTGCCCTGACCGGGAATCGAACCGGTGACATCCCGGTGCAGGGTCGACGCTCAACCACTGAGCCACACCGGCCGGGCTTCCTAAAGGTAGTTGAAATGTTTCAGACTAATTCTGGCCACTATAAAAAAAGAAAAGCTCCTATTCCTACACATATATATGCACTCAACTTGGACAGTTCAACTTCACGTGGAAGTATCACTTCCCAGGTTACAAAACAATCTGGCAATACTACTTCGCCTAATTCTTGTAACAACTCCATGCGACAGGCCTCACTCTCCTTGTGCTGACGCCCAGCTGAGACTTGGCCAAAGTGAGGGGCGGAGCTCGAACGCAAATACTTTTCGAACAGACGCCAGAACCTCACCGCCTGAGGAACAGAACAAGACCGTCTGGAAAGCGAGACCTGGTGAATGCTACGCAGACACCTAGATTTTTAAACATTTTATAAAACACCTTTTATCACAGTCTTTTGAAAGTAATGATTTGTTGTGCAAATTTCAGAAAGGAGAGAAAAATCTCACACACACACACACACAGAAATCGTATGTCTACAAGCCTAAAATAATTACTGTGAAAAGTCCCCAGCATACCTGTGTTCTCTCTCCCCTACGGACATACCGAAGACACGCAGTCGGTGTTTAAAACGTACAACTGGGATCGCGGTCCACGCGGTCGGCACACTGCTCTTTCACTCCGAAGTTTGGGAAACTGCGTGTCACTGACTGCGCTGTCCCGTTTTCACCGAGGAACGTAGACGCTGGGGCGGCCGAAGCCTTCCATAAACAGGTGGAGCTGCTCTGACCTGCTCCCAGTCACGAAGATTCTGTCCGGCCGAACAGTCCACCTGCCGCGACCCCCGTGCTGGAAAGAGGGTCAGCGAGGGGGGTTCTCCACGAGGCTCCCAGACTCATCGCAGCCACGGGGACCAGGCGCCTACCTGCGCCCGTGCCTGGCCCACCGCCCGTTCCGTCGACTTGGCAACACGGCGGACGTTCCTAACAAAAGAAAAGACCCGTTTACTCAAAGAGAAGGGAAGCCCTCAAGAAATAAAATAAAATTACAAAATTAAACATTCGGCATGAACTATAAATTTTTTTAAAAAAACAAGCCAAATGATTAAAGAACAGCTTGATTAAATATTTGTCAGTTTTAAGATGTGCCCTCAGTGACTAACCACATAATGTATTACAAACAACTAGTTATGAAGTTTTACATTTGTTTAAAAGGGAATAATTGGCCCCAATTAAGCTGACTAGACTAAGGCTTTTGTTGGTTTTTGTTTGTTTTTGTTTGTTTGTTTAGATTACGTAAGCAAATTAAACTTTTTAAGATGAGAATTTAGGTGACCTTGAAACCTTCCTGAAACGGACCATGACACGAGCCGAGCTGTAACCTCCCTGGTTTGAGACCTTAAGAGAACTTAAGTGAGATTGAAATCTGATTTGATTTATTTACCTTTGGAAATGAAGACCGTTTAAGGGTTACACACGTCCTCAGCCTTGGCGAGTACGACCTCAATTAGTCAGAATGTCTTTAAACCCTTTGTGCTCATTGCTTCCAGCATGGAGCGAGGAGTTCATTAAGGTACCAAAAGTCTCATAAAAAATCCAAAGTTGCACTAGTGGAAAAACGCTCAACAAGGTGAAAACTGATCACATCTTTTCCAGAAAATCAGTAGTTATTTTAAAACCAGTTTGTTTGTTTTTTTAAACAAGATTTGGGTTTGATCCCATGTGGCCTCTTTAAACAGCATTTAAACCTACGGTGAGTATAGAGAATGGCACATTTAGTTTTTATACCGCTTTTAAAAGAAGTTGTACAATGTTTAGTGTGACCCTTTTAGGACAAGCGTCGTTAAATGAATGCTCTCTCCCTGTTTACAACTATTTATGAAGGCCTTTTTAAGTAAGAAAAACATGAAATTGTTAGCTCACACACACAGAATTTCTTTCAAAAGTTTATTTAGTATCAAGCAAGAGGAAAGTTTGCTTAACACTACAGAACATTTCAAGACTTGAGTTACAAAAGAATATACCACATAATTTGCACTTATAATTGGCTTCCCTTTTCACGCATGTTGGCAAGAGAGAAAAAAACTAGCATATGGCTGAAAGATAAAATAACTAAACTCTATGGAAACCTTTAAAATAAAAGGTGAGGCTTATGTTAAAGGATGGATTAACATATTTAATAAACCTATTTTTTTGTTTAACACTAGTTAATCAAAGTTATTTTTTTTTTCTTTTGAGACCTATTTTTTCATATACAGACTGGAAATAACAAAATTTTACATGTCTTTTTTTTTTTTCTTTTTCTTTCTGCCCAGGTTGATGTTTCCACAAAGTAGTTTTAAGGTCCATCCATTCAGATTTTAAGCATTTTGATTTATTTAAAAAGGGATTGTTCGTAGAAAAAAATTACTTTGAACAGTATACAGGACTGGTGGAGATTGGCTATTTCACAACATCAGACAGTACAATCAGTATCGGCCATAGGGCTGGTCTCTGTAGACGCCTTTCGCTGTCCTCGCGGGCGGTGCCTTGGGCCTTGAGTTAGTCCACTCTTCTTGCCCTAAAACCAGTTAAGACGAACCACAATTAGATCATCGGCATGGATCCCACCGGCATCACTTCGCGGGGTCCGACTACGCCCTCCACCTAACGTGGATGTCATGCTGGAGACAGACAGCCCCGATACCCTGAGAAAAGCCCGAGGAAACTCACTTTAAAAAAAAAAGACAAACAGCATGGAAAAGGGTCATCGCCTCCCCGAAACCTATCAGCATGAGACAACAAGAAAGGAGTTTGGTATCTGAAGTGGCCATCAGCTTCGCAGGGACGCCCCTCGGGCCACTCACTCAGCAGCTCGCGAGCTCAGTAGCAGATGGCACTGCCCCGGGCTGCACACGAGGACGTTTAGGGATGGGAAGTGGACGCTGTGCTCCCCTCACGAAGGAAACGCGGGAGAAAGCGTGTCAAGGCAGAGGAGCCTGGGGGGCGGTGTGGGAGGGCAGAGCCGCGACGCTGTCCCGCACGGTCCCTTCACGGGGCGGACAGCCACGCTGGCTGGGAATTCCCGCCACGGCAGCTGCCGTGAGTATGGTCAACGTGACGATGTAACGCCACAGACTCATCATACGGCTCCGCACGGGACCGCGGTATTAATAACCCAGGGCTGTGCACTGTCGTCATGTCCTGGGATTAAACGGGTCTGAGCGCCCCCAGGTCTTCGCCAACGACCCTGAGCACCCCTGCGGCAGCCCGCAGCCAGGTGGACGGCCTGGTCCCCAGAGACCGAGGTGAAAAAGCTGTGAAGGGAAGAAGGGCCTAAGAGGACCTCTTCCCCGGACACCAGCTGGCACCCGGCGTCGCTCCCTCAGGCCGACGGGCACCAAGGTCTAGCGTGTGGCGCTGAACAGACGAACATGTCTCCCTGAAGAGTTTTCTTCGAAGAAAAGAAAAGAAAAAAGCCCAAGGTGCAATCGTCACCGCTTGGGGCGGGCCTCTAACAAAATGTACTTCAAAGGGACACCCCGAAAATGGCTTCTCCACGATGTCCAGAGAAACATCATCACACGCACTGACCGGGTCCTGGAGACAGGGCAGCTGGGGGACGCCTCCTGTCCCATCTCCTCCCCATCGGGTTGCGGCTGCCGGTCTGAATTAACCCCGTCCTGTCCTTCTGCAAGAGGAGGCTCAGGACCGGGGTTCCCCCGAGCTCAGTGGGGCTGGGCTGCCTCCCCCAGAGCCCGAGAGTGACTCTGGCTTCGCCCTGGCTTGGGTGACCCTTATGGGATGACTCCCCCCGCCATGGTTTCAGACGATTTCAGAGTGGGAGGAACTGACACATGAAGATGGGAGCGGGGGGACCACTGTAGAGCTGTCGTCTCAATCGCTTCATTTTCCTCAACCGTCGGGAAGCGGAGACACCCCAAAATGACCCAAGCAAACAAGGGGCCACGGGCTGGCAAACGGGCCTATGAACGGGAAACCCAGCACCCACCAGAAACCGAGCCCAGAGCCTGCGCTCCTGCGGCCTCCGCAGGCCTCCGCCCCTACACTTCAACCCTCAAAGGAGCCTCTGGAAGGGGCAGGCGCAGGTGGGCAGGGACCAGGCTGCTGCGTCCCAGTCCGAATGTCCACGCAGCCCCTCCGTCAGGACGCTCTGCCTGGCTCGCGCCGGCCGCTCACTCACCGTAGGAGTCGTACGTCTCGGCCCCGAGCCCGTGTCCATAGTCGTAGTAACCGGCCCCACTGCAGTGAGACAGAACACGGAGGGAAGAGGTGAGAACACGGACGTGGCTGTGAGTTCAAATCGCGTTGGGTGAGGTTTTCTGAAGCTTAAAGGTAAAGGGCACAGATTCCCGTGGGGCTGACAAGCCCTAACACAGAGGCCTTAGGCTTCAGGTTATCAAAGGCCCCCCAACTCTGACACATAATAAATGTGTTGACACCTCAGCCGCAGCACCTGGCCCGTCGACAGTGGGGGATGGAGGGTGGTGCCGTCCCGGCGGGGCGGAGAGAAGAGGGGTGCAGGGGCAAGTCCAGCGCCCTGTGCACATGAAGGAGGGGGAACCCCCAGCTTCTCTCCTAGAGATGGACCGTCTAGGGGAGGCCAGGACTTTGTTTTCTCTCTGAGCCTCACCCACCAGGAAATTCAGTGCCGTGTGAGCTCCCAGCAGGGACACACGCGAGGAGCTGAGACGGTTCCTCTCCCAGCACAGCTCACGGCCACCAGGAAGGGACTAACCCTGGCCTCGGCACGCATGCGCCCTGTGGCAGAGGAGCTGAGAGGCTCCCTGCGGCCCGGGCCCTGGCGCAGTCTGTGAGCACAGAGCCCGGGGCTTTGAAACACAGGCAGGTCTGGCTCGTCTTGCAGGGCACCCTGAGCCAGCAGAGGGCCTGTCACCATGGCCATTTTGCAGACAACGTAGAACAGGCATCATTTCTCGAAGGAACTTATCTGCGGAAACTGCAGCTTCCTGAACCGCAGCAGACAGATCAGATGCTCTCCAGGGCCCAGGGGCAGCTGCCACTCACCCTCTCGGGCCACCCCCTCCCGTGACTGCAGAGCGGTGCACCCCACATTGGCACAGAAGACACATTCTCATGATTCCAACTTCGTGCACACAAATAAGAAGTTCCATCAAACGGACAGTGACCCTGTTCGGCTGTTCAACCTTGGGGAGTTGCCGTATGAATTCTAAGACCCGCACCGGGCGTGGCTGGGTGTCAGCTGACACCCACCCAGGCACCATGACAGCCCGGAGTGGCACCCACTCTCATTCCCACTCCACAGGTAAGGACACTGCGGGTCAGAAACGCCAGGCTGCCCACCTAACACCTCACAGACCAGGGCAGCAGGTCACGCCCTCATGGGTTCAACCAACACCCACTCCCCACCCCATCTCCTCCAGCTAATGGACCAGACCGGTCACCGAAGGCGAGGACGAAGCACTGACTGGCAGGCCCAGGAAAAGGAGGTAAGAACGGGCTGTCCCTCTGGTCGTCCAGCAAGGCAGGGTCTTCACACCTGCTCCTCCTGCCGGGGATGCTCTTCTCCCCTCCCCTCCAAGCCCCACCTGCACAGAGCACCTCCCCGAACTCGCGGGGTGCTCGGGACCCACTATAGCACACCTCTGTTGTTTCTCATCCGCCATCCCTCTCCTGACCCCCAACAAACCCTCACTCTACGTGACCGAGTCACCAGGTCCCTGGAGAAGGGGCACCTCCACCAGCTGGGGTGGCGCATGGGCTTCTTGGAGCAGATGAAGCTTGAGTGATGTTCTGCAGGACGGCGAGGGGGAGCGGAAGTGGGGTGAGGACAAGGAGCAGACGGAGCCCACGGTAGCGCCTCAGGGACCCTCCGGGCACAGGGAACAGTGCAAGGGGGCACAGGGCAGCAGACGGCTCGAAACATTTGAGCATCTGTAAGTACTTGATAACATGACTGATTCCTCAGTATAAAATGCTGCCTTCATGTGCAAAATATAGGCCAGACCCCGTGCCCGGCGTAATCACGGCCTCCCAGGTCCCTGGCTGCGGCAGCGCACGGCTGTGATGTGAGCTCTGTGGCCCCAGAAGAGCGAGCTCTCTGCCGCGGGCTGTGCTGGCCTCAAACTGCCCAGGGACAGAGCATCCCTCCCGGGCGGACCTATCACACCGGGGGGAGGTGCAGCGTTCCCGAGGGGACACCCGCAGGTGCAGGGCATTAAGGTCTTCAGTCTGAGAGTTGGCTTTCCTCGAGCCACTGGAGGAAAGGCGGGGATGTGAGAGGAACAGCGCTGGGGTGAGCTAGCCCCTCCCGGGGACAGGGTGAGCTAGCCCCTCCGGGGGACAGGGTGAGCTAGCCCCCCCCCCGGGGGACAGGGTGAGCTAGCCCCTCCGGGGGACAGGGTGAGCTAGCCTTCTCCCAGGGGACAGGGTGAGCTAGCCCCCTCCCGGGGTACAGCTCTGCCATGTGCATGGTCTCACTGCATCTGTGTAAAGTCTCCGTTTCCACTGATGGGGCCGCTGAGGCTCAGGGAGGGTGAGCCTCCTGGCCAGGGTCACACAGCTCTGCTGGGGCAGCTTCTGTTCTCAGAGCTCAGGGCACGGCCGCTGCCCTGTGCTGGTGGCGGACAGTGCTCACGGGGGGCCACCTCGCCCAGGCCGTTCCCACTTCACGCTGACCTGTTCTGCTCGTGCTCAGAAACAGAAGTCAGGGTCCACATGGCCCGCTGCCCGGTGCTCAGTAATCCTGTCTCCTCCCAGCTCCCTCCCTCCCCCGCCTCTGTGGCCCTAAATTTTTCTCAAACACAACAGACATTTAAGGGGAGGGGAAAGGAAGAGAGACGAGCTGGAAAAGGGGCAGAGGAATTTTCATATTCAAGAGGAGAAAGAAAGAAACAGCAAAAATAAGCAAGAGCCAGAGAAACAATACGGTTTTTCCTTATATCTGGGAAGTGCTATCAAAGTAGGGTATTTTTCTCATCCTGAGGATAGGAGTTTAGAGATGAACCGTTTGATAAGATCTCAGTGTCAAACAGTGGTCAAGACACCAGAGTCCAGTGAGGGCCCCCACGTGCTGGGGGGCCTGGCGCGGGTCCTGCTCACTGAGCCTGTGTTCCATCTGTCAGATCCGTGGTCTGGGTGCTGCTCAGACCCCCGGGGCTCTGACATCCTCGGGGCCCACGCACCGCGTCTTCTCATTTTGTTGAACATATGTTGTCTACGTCTTAGAAACTCAGCACTAAATTAAGAGAACCTCAGTCTTCTCTTTGAAGGTCAGAAGCTACATCGTGATGGCCCCTTAGACAAATAAAACCCTGGTGTTCTTGAGAATTTTATCTTCGTTGTGCAGATAAAATGAGAGTAACCTCTTCCTACAAGTCAAAGCAACTTCCTCTCCCAAGACAGGTCCCCACCGTTTAACTTGGAACCGTAAGTGACAGGTCCTGAGTCGTCAACAGAAGCGTCCAACAACCGCTCTCCGACCAAACTAGTCCCCTCTGCTGGATGAACGGGCGGTAGTGACCGGTAATGACCGTCAGCAGATGGGAACCGGGTCTGTGAAGCGCTCTGACAGAGTGTACCCTAAAAAAATTGGGGTGAAGACTGTTCCATGACGAACAGGAAGGTAAAAGGTGGCATAACTTGGCCCAGCGGTGGTTTGCTGGTGAGACAGCCTTAGCCCGGACAAGGGGAACTTCGGACGGGCGTTTCCTGCCACTTCACCGCCGCGCGGTCATCCAGCCAGGGAGCCGGAGCAGCTGAGCCCCGACGCACCGGTCAGCCCCGGCGGAACTGCTTCCCCAGCGCTCCACTGCGTGTCTGTTAGCCAAAGACGTGTCCTATTTCCCGGGGATACGCTGCAAACCCGCTGTGGCAAAGGGAGAACAACCATCTCCTCATTCAGGAACACAACTTACAACATCAATAACAGCAAGAAAATGCAGGAATACACCTCAGCTCTATCGAAAGGGCTCCAGGTGAGCTCCTCCCCCCACAGGTCAGGAGTGGGCTTCTCTTCCTGCAGGAGGCCACGTCTCCTGGGTCTCTGTCCTTCTCCATGTCCCCCGCCCCATGTCAGGGGTCAAAGGGAGTCTGCACGTTCAGCATAATCCCCGGCCTTCCCAGAGGTTCCCGGTTCCACCGATCAGAGGCAGAAGCACTCCCAGGACTGGGAGAGGTCACAGCGCTAAGGAGCAGACGGCATCCCCCAGAACGGTCCCTGGCTCCTGGCTCCACCCTCCATCAACAGGGCTTCAAATGAGGACAGAAACCCCGAGTCCCCCCACCCGTCCCCCATCCCTGCCACCTCTTCACGCCTCTGCACTGACTTCTACGTTAAAGTCACTGGGACCGATCTCGTCAACCCTTCTGAAAGGTTAACTATCTGCGGACAAACTGGGGCAAGCGAGGACCGAGGCTCTGAGCCAGGATGTCGCTCCCCGGCAGCTGCTGGTCTGTCCCCCCACGTGGCTGCCTCCTTCGCGGCGACTCTGTAACGGGAAGGAGTGTAACCCTTCAGCCGGAACGTTACACGTGCCTACGTCCTCCGACACTGGTCCTCCTCGGCCTCTCCTCACACGCGTGTCTGTTTCGGCGCTTGCTACGGCCCTTGGGTATGAAGATAACTTGTGTTTCTCTTCCACTTCTCAATTTCTTCTTCTTCTTCTGAAGATCCCCTCTCCCCGCCTTCCTTCTCTCCGTTTCCCCATTCTGGCGACTCCTGCTGGAATCCCTCTGTCTCAGGCTCCATCTTCCGTCTCCCAGATTGTCCACCGTGTCACTTCGTCCTCTGGAGCTGTCCAGCAGCCGCTGTTCGGCCATCCACTGGCTTCTTACTTCCCAGCTCCTTGCCCGGTTTGGCCCTTCCTGGATGTGAGATCTTCTTATTCACGTGAAGATTTATTTATTTATTTATTTTTAATTTATTTTTTTATCCTCACCCGAGGACATTTTTCCACTTTTTGTTCAGATAGAGTGGGAGGGAGAGAGAGGAACAGAGAGAGAGAGAGAAACATCGACGTGAAAGGGACACATCGAGTGGCTGCCACCCGCACGACCAACCAGGCCGGGGACAAACTGCAACCAAGGTACGTGCCCTTAGCGGGAACCGAACCCGGGTCTCTCTGGACCGCAGGCCAACGCTCTAACCGCTGAGCCAAACTGGCCAGGGCTTCACGTGAAGATTTAATTGCTTATTTTACAATCACCTTCTATTCCTCAAGCTCTGATCTCTCGAGGTGTTAGTTTTTCAGTCTGTTGAG